GGATGTTGACAACGGAATACAGGTTCTCTGCTGAGCAGCAAGTGATTCAAACTACTTCTCCAGCCCCAACAAACTCCCTTTTCTTTAGAGAGAGAGAGAGAGGAGAGAGAGGGGAGTTAAAATGCAGTGGGGGGGGGGCGGGGGGGAGGTAAGAACCCTCTAAAATATGATACTCGATGGGATTTTAATTACATATTTCATTTCTTTAATATTATTTGTTTACTCACGTAATTTCTGTCTATTCTGGAGTATATTTTATCCATATTTCAGATTATAAATCTGGACCATATAAATACTAATATACCATATTTTTAAATATACCATATTTTTAAATAGCTTTCAAGTTAGTATGTTTCTAGTGGATTTCTTAATGTATCCTTAGTAAAAAAAAAAGCTTGAGTTTTACATGTTAATGGAATATTATGGATATTGTAATAATGGAATAATGGAATGATTACAGAATGTTTAATTTGAGCTAGTACCTCTGTATAATTAATATTACTTTTCAGACTACAATTGTACATCAAATAACAAAATGCTACTCTTACTGTAGGAAAGGATGTATTTTTAAAAATCCTAGCTTTAGACCTGCATGTTCAATAATTGTCTTACAATTTTGATCTTAACCAGTATATCAGAAATACAATATTTTTCAATAATAGGGTATATGTATCACTACCTCAGTGATGCTGTTTTTAAAAACCTAGTAGATTCAATCCCAGATAAGGCACGCATACTTCCAGAGTGTTCCCTAGACTTAGGGACCAGTCTGAACATGCAAAACTCCAGGCACAGAAGACATATCTAAACACACACCACACTGCTAGCCAAATTCAACAATAGCGCTAATCACAAGGAAATGGTCCAAACATCTGACATGAAGTAACTCATTTTCTTCTCACAACATCCTAAAAAGTGGGCAACATTACACTCCTGAGTCTGAAACAGAAAAAAAAAAAAAAAAAAAAAAACGAAGACAGTGACTTTCCTGTGTTGCCCAAAGTCACAACTGGGGAAGGTCAAACCAAGTCATATGACCTCGAGTACTGACCCTGAAATCCAATCCACTGAAGTCTTTGGACACATGTGTCCTTAGAACGGAATCCATGTCTGTACTCTGTCACCTGGATCAGAGACCTGCTCTAAGTCCCCAAGGCCTTGGACTTCTTACTGTGCTGTACACCTTTCGAAGTGAAACAGTCGGGCAGCAGAAAAGACAATATTTCAGCATTAGAACAACGACCCCTGCACAAGTCGCTGGTCATGGGATGACTGAGACACCTCCCAGCACTGACTACCTACCACCCCCAGATTGGGATGATACAAGGTCGCCGTCCCCTCATGGGGAATAAGCTAGCTGTCTCAGCCACAGCGCCAGCTTCTTGGCCTTTCTAATGATTTCTCTGAGGCTGCAACCCTTGGGGTCAGAGGAGAAAGTAGGGCCTGATCCTTCCTCTGCCCAGAGTCTGGAGAGTGAATTCCAGAACCTCCTCCCCACTTCCCTTAGTGACTTTCCCTTCTGGCTGCAATTCTCTCTTTCCCCTCTGACGCTGAAGGCTATGACAGGCATACTTTGGGAGCTCTATGTAACCTAATACTATGGGAAATTCAAAGAGCGCAGTACATTCCTCGGGAACACAACAATCCCTAGCTAGCAAGGCACCTCCTTCAAAATCAACAGAGACCCACCTCTGTCCTCCTGGGCCCACAGCCTTGTTTACTGCTTCCTCCTGTACTCAGATACCTTCGTGTGGACTTTGGTTAACAGTTGCCCAATATCAACCTTCCCCAGGTGACCAAACATGGAACTGCCCTACCTCCAGAGTTTCTCACATGTCAAACGCTACGTAAACAAGCTTTGAAATACATTTTATGGAATGAGAGGTCGAGAGAGCTGGGCTTGGGACATGCCCAAGGCTGTGGACATTCTAGTTTCTCACAGGCTCACCTCAGCGTCAAGTCAGAACACCAGAGGACTGGAGTCAAATCCACCTCCTCAGCCAGTATTTAAACTCAGGAGACAGCAAGGATTTGGGCAACCATGATGCAACCAAGATCAGGACAAGCCATGTAAAAGCCCCCCCTTCCATCTGTAAAAACGCATCACCACCCACGCAAACAGGTGAGCAGCTGGTTGAAAACTGTATCTTAAAGGCCTGATCTCTGGCAATACTTCTAGTAATAATAGCAACTTTATTATTCAGGACCCAGCTTAAAAAACCCAGAGAGGGCATTCTAGCACTTAAAACAGACAGAACTGGGAGTGGGGGTCTGCAGCAGGTTTGCTTTGCAAGTATGAGGAACTGAGTTCAATCCCCAAGACCCCACAAAAATTCTGGACACAGTGGAGGGTACTTGTGATCCTAGCACTGTGGAATGCGAGACAGGCAGATTCCCAGGGGTCACTGGTCAGCCAATGAAGTCTACCGGCAATCAACAGGCCAGTGAGGGACCCTGTCTCAGAGAACGTTGACAGTACTTTGTGACTGTTCCAGAGGTTGTGCCCTGTTCTGCTATGTGCACAAGTGCACATGCATGAACACGTGCACACAGAACACACACACACACACCACCTACACATATACCCACATGCACATCAACAGAGAACCACACAGAGAGAACTAGTAATAAACGTGGCAAAGGAGCAGAGAGACCAAAGGAAGGACACACTTAGAGAAG